TTTTATTTGATTTTGTTTTTATTTTTCGATTTTTCAATTTTTCGATTCATCAATTCTTCGTAATTTCAATTTTGGGAGTTTTATTTTTCGATTCTTCAATTTTTCGCTTCAATTTCTGGATTTTCCAAATTTACGTTTTCTCATTTATTTTTTTATTTTTGATTTCTCAGTTTTACGATTTTTATTTTTCAATTTTTGCCGCTCCTAAATTTTCGATTTTTCAATTTCTCAGTTTTTCAATTTTTTGGTTTTTCAGGTTTCTAATTTTTAAATTTTTTTAATTTTCGGTTTTCGATTTTTCAATTTCTGGATTTTCCAGTTTTTCGATATTTTAGTTTCGGGATTTTTCAATATTTTGATGTTTCAATTTTGGGATTTTTCAGTTTTTCAATTCGCCAATTTTTCTTCGATTTATCGATTTTTCGTTTTTTCAGTTTTTCGAATTTTCCATTTTTCAGGATTTTCATTTGTCTTTTTTTTCGACTTCGATTTCTAGATTTTTTAATTTTTCGATGTTTCACTTTTGGAGTTTTTCAATATTTCAATGTTTAAATTTTGTTTCAAAATCAAATATCTAGAAACAGCAAATTTCAGTTCAAATGCTTCTAGTTTCACCGGTAATGACGACAATTTCAATTTTTACGTCCGGGCTGTAGTAACTGCATGTAATGTTAACGAATGTTTTATTTGATTTTGTTTTTATTTTTCGATTTCTCAATTTTTCAATTTCTCGATTCATCAATTCTTCGTAATTTCAATTTTGGGAGTTTTAAATTTTTCGATTCTTCAATTTTTCGCTTCAATTTCTGGATTTTACAAATTTGCGTTTTCTCGTTTATTTTTTTTTTATTTTCGATTTCTCAATTTTACGATTTTTATTTTTCAATTTTTGCCGCTCCTAAATTTTCGATTTTTCAATTTCAGTTTTTCAATTTTTTGATTTTTCAGGTTTCTAATTTTTCAATTTTTTAAATTTTCGGTTTTCGTGATAATTTTTGGATTTTTCGATTTCTGGATTTTCCAGTTTTTCGATATTTTGATGTTTCAATTTTGGAAATTTTCAGTTTTTCATTCTTCAATTTTTCTTCGATTTATCGATTTTTCGTTTTTTCAGTTTTTCAAATTTTCCATTTTTCAGGATTTTCGTTTGTCATTGAATAATAATAATTATAAACTTGTCGTGTGTGAACCTGTGTCGAATTTTCACCGTAGACATCCAGAATTTTTGGCAAAATCAGCCTTAACAGGTACTATCCCCACCCCCCACCCCCTTTTTTCTTAGAAAGTATATCATTTGCCAAAATGGGTCTTTTTTGGCAGCTATTAGTCCCGCCCACCCACCTTCTCTTTTCTTAGAGGGTATGTCATTTTCCAAAATCGGTCTTATCTTAGCAGGTACTAGGCCCGCCCACCCTCCCTCTTTTTTCTTAAAGGGTATCTCATTTGCCAAAATCAGTCTTATCTTATCAGCTACTACCCCCCTCTTTTCTTAGAGGGTGGGTCATTTGCCAAAATCGGTCTTATCTTTGTAGCTACGAATCCCGCCCACCCACCCTCTCTTTTTTTAGAAGGTGTGTTATTTGCCAAAATCAATTTTATCTTAGCAACTACTAGCCGCACCCTCTCTTGTCTTTGAGGGTATCTCATTTGCCAAAATCGGTCTTATTTTAGCAGCTACCAGCCCCGCCCACCCACCCTCTCTTTTCCCAGCATGCTACTTTACATTCACTTTAACATTAGATACATATTTTTATTTTAACTTATTATCATTCTCATTAAAAAAATTAAATTCGCATAATCAAATTTTATAATTTTTCGAAAAAACTGGATTTGTTTTGTTGTATTCCAGAGGTTAAGGAAGTTCTGTCGAAATAATCTTCGACCAATTTTTTTAATGATTAAATCAAGGATGGGTCACCCTATTTTCTCGAAAATCTAAGAATACCTTAATTTTTAATAATAATAAAATAATAATTGTGATAATAACAGCTGCTTACCTAAAATAATTCAAATTTCATTTTTTTTCACAAATGCATACTTTGATCTGCTGCGTTCATGTTTGTTATCCGTACGTGCTTAATAATGTAGTCAAATTATTTCGAAGTATAAACATAAACAGTTGAAGTTAGGCTTGTAAGATTGCTGGGGTCTTATTTATGCTACAAATGATCTAAAGCCATATTAGACAGAATTTCCCTAGTCCCTGAAATACAGTCAAATAATTCAGTGTCTTAGATAAATGATAAAATTTGATTTTGCGAATTTTATGACAAAAAACGACAAAAATTCAATACAAATAGAAAGAAACGCCAGGAAAATGTCATGAAAACAATAAAAAAGAAACGATTAAAAAAACACCAAAAATGCGAAAAAAGCAATAAACGAAAGAAAAAACGATGACAAAAAAATACATAAAAAAGGAGGGACAGAAGAAAACGACAAAAAAGGGAACAAAGGAGACGGCAAAATTAGCTTTAAGAAATATACACTGACAAAATACAAAAAATAGTAGTAGATGTAGGATTTTTCAAGCAAAATTTTGAGATGGCGTCATCATTTTTTTTTTTTTCAGAGGGGATAAACAGATAAATTTTGATTAGTGGTTTACCATGCTTATGTTAACCTTAAAATGCTTAGAAGATTTAAAAGCATTCCGTTATCCAGTTTTTAATTTAAATTGTAAACAAATTCGGTCCAGGGTTATTTCCACAGAACTTCCCTCGTCCTTGAAATACGATAAAACAATTCCAGCTTTTCGACAAAATTTTGAAACGGCGTAATCAGTTGGGGGGGGGGGGACAAACACATATATTTTGACTACCAATTTATCATGCTTGCGACAACTTTAAGGCGTCCGCAAGATTTCAAAGCATTCGGTTTTGCAGATTCAATGTTAAATTGCAAAATGTTATTCAATTTTGATTTTGTTCCCAAAAAACTGGATGTCTAGAGTAAAAGCTGAACACGGATTCATAAACTACACGTGTAGGAGTATGTTGTTTTATAAAGTTTAATAGAACACATTTACTATGTACAATTTTGAGTGACGTCATCAATCACCTTGGTGGGGATAATTAAAAAAAATTTCATTAGCATTTTACCATCTACATCATATTCGTAACACACATAAAATTTGGCAACAACCGGTCCAGTAGTTTTGGTTTTGTCTAACAAAAATAGACACAAACGGTGGACAGATATACAAACAGACAGACGGAAACGTACCAAGGGTCATATTAACATATCGAGAAAATATTAAAGTAGCCATCCGCCTGATTACCATACTTCCTTAGCTTACGCCCGAAAAGTAAAAAAGATTATTAAAAAAACGGAACCAAAACAGGAAACAGATGACGAAAAAAAGCAAAAAAAGTTCACAAAAAATGCGAAAAAGCAACAAAAGCACGGAAAAGCGACAAAAAGTCTATTAAAAATGCGAAAAATGTAACAAAAGGACGCACAAAGCAACCAAATGAAGATTACAAAAAAAACGATAAAAAAGGCAATGGACAAAGGCGGACAGAAAAGACGAAACAAAGACGAAAAAGCGACAAAAAAACAGAACAAAAGGGACGACAAAGCTACCTTTAAAAATTGCGAATACACTGGCAAACTACAAATGCAAAAGTAGGATTTATTCAGCAAAATTTCAAGATGGCGTCATAATTTTTTGGGAGGGGATAAAGAGATAAATTTTTATTGGCGATTTGCCATGCTTATGTTACCCTTAAAATATTTACAAGATTTTTAAAAGCATTCCGTTGTCCAGTTTTTAATTTAAATTGTAAAAAAAAATGGTCGAGAGTTATTTCCACAGAACTTCCCTCGTCCCTACAATACAACAAGACCTCCTATAAATCCAAGGAACAAAAAAAGGGAACAAAGGAGACGATAAAACTATCTTTAAAAATTGTAAATACACTGCCAAAAAGTAGGATTTTTTCAGTAAAATTTGGAGATGGCGTCATCAAGTTTTGGGGCGAATAACCAGTTAAATTTTCATTAGCGGTTTACTATGAGAATCTTAAAATGATTATAAGATTTCCAATCATTCGTTTTCCAGTTTCTAATTTAAATAATAAAATGTTATAACAATTCTGATTTTTTTCCGAAAATCTAGATATCTCAGATAAAAAATAAAGGCTGACTCATAAACCACCGGTCCATACCAAAGTAGGTAGAGATGGCGTCATCAATTTTGCTTAGCTTTAGTACTAAGTGCTAAGGTATATCTAAAATTTCACAATAATCAGTCTCGTAGCTTCGAAGATTACGTGTCTAGTAAAGTCGCCGACATACGGCACAGACGAAATTTTTTCGTACTCTGGTGGTTATGAAACGTCAAGAAAACTTGAAATTATGTGTTCGCCGCATGAACCCAATTACAATACTTCCCCATTTTACTGTCGCGAAGTAAAAATGAAATAAGAATTGGACTAGTTCAGGGTTTAGTTGTAAGACCTTTATTTTTCCTGATCTTTGTTATCGATCTTCAAGTACCATTTTATACATAAAATAAACAAAGTAGCCAAAAATAAAGACCCACTTTGTGTGATCTTAAAAAAAAGGTTTCCATCTTATGATTCATTCATAGTTTACTCCGGCGGCCGTTGAAAGATGTCAGCGAAGTTAAATAATTTCGGCGATCGCCTGCTATTTCCGGCGAGTATTTCACAAACCGTAAATTGTACAATCGAACTACAATAGTTTATTTATATTGACGGTTTTATCGCTGTAAAATAACATGATGACATTTTATTGCCAGAAAAAAAATCCGCTTTTGATCATTCCGTTAGTTAAATTTTTAAAACTCGTCACAAATTCTAATTATGCACAATCTTTCTGTCCAATTAAAACCGACCATGATTGATTCGTCGAACCAGGACGAACACGTCCCCTCTCTCTCACACACTTATGCAACAACAAATCACGTGACCGTCTCGTACCACAATAAACCCATCATCGCCCCCCGTCGTTCGGGTCTATTTCGACCCGGCCTTCGCTCATCTGAAAGCGCACCTGAGCCCTCCGCCACTGATTGATCGTCGCTACTCGCCGGGCAACGGCCGCGTCGCCGCTGCATCCGAAGGGTGGGTGAACTCCGCCGTGTCGCGGCTGTTACTTAAGTCTAAATTAAGTGAGGTTATTTTAAGTCGGTGGCGCGTACGCACAGGCCGTCGTTCAGCTGTCACTGCTCGCTTTTGCTCCTGCCGTAACACATGCCGCTTAGATAAGTCGAGCAAAAGCTGTTGCTGGGCGCGGACTCGAAGTGCAGTGTTTATCGCAGGGTCTCGATGCAACAGACGGATGGATGCAATTAATGCAGCGTCTGAACAGTGGGTGCAGTGCTGTGAAGTGCCGAGATAAGGTCGAGGGCTGTGAAGGGGATTATCGGTATTTCTAAGTGGTGATGAGGTGACACTTGGCTCTTGTAGAAATCGGGTTGTGGTTGATGGTGACCTTTGGGAATTGGTTTTATGGGTCTTCGGGAGGCGGAATGACGGATGAAGGAATGGATTGTTTTGATGCGATGATTGCGATGGTTGTTGGTGGCGTAATCGGTTGAAAGCGGTTTTTATTAGGTATATTTTAGGCGCTTTTGACGTTTTCGTGGAATTTTGCCAAATCTGGGTTGGTTTTCTTCGGATGGCGGCCATGTTTTTGTTTACATCGGTGTTTACGGCCCCGAGGACTGATAAGACGGTTGCAACTGATTATTTCAATTGACTCGTAATTAGCTGACATGGTTAACAAGTGAATACTTTTATTGTTTGGAACTTCCTTATTCGTCGGACTTTATAATCGTTTTTATTGTTGGATTTAAGCGCTTGATGAAAGTGACGTGTGGTAAACCTGAATCTTGAAGACCATACATGGGTATTTTAACTGGTCGTGATTAATTTAACGTGGAATTTACCATATACCATTCGAGTTGTTTTCGAGATTTTGTTGATCTGGACTATATAAGGCGATTTTTTTCCTCCACAAAAACATACATCCGTCTACTAACATTTCTTGTTAGTATTTTATTATTTCTGTTTTATATCAGTCTTTTGGTTTTGGTATCCAGATGTTCCTCTTTATCTCGACTACAAGTTCTGCCAGATTTTTTGTAAACTTTAGTTTATTTATTATTTTTTTGGTTGCAAACAACTACAGAGTGATAACTCACAAAGAATATGTCGGCGCAGTTTGATCGTCGTAGTCGGCGCAGATCACCCTCAAAAATTATTTGGGTCCTGTATTGACTTCGTTAAAAAATCTCTAATTTTAAATACACTGTACTCAACTAATTTTCCCACTAATCAATTAATAAATGCGAAAAAAGAAACGTGGGTCGGCTTCGTGGGCCACTCAATAATGTTTACCATCAGCCTAGATTTATTCAATTGCATTCAATTGCCAATGATGAAGTAAGGGTGGAGTAAAGCATGGTAATTTTTTTCTAGCCGTTCGTATACTTCTACGTACTCGTAATTTCTTTGTCGTAGCTCCATCGACCGGTAAGCACTTCTTGAGGTTCCTTTTCGCTTTAATGTTGGAGACTTTTCCGCCAGGCATCTAATTTATAATGTATATAATCAATATATGTCTCCTTAGCTAGTCAACAGCAATCAAAGGTGATAGGAGGGTACGTTCCATACAAAATGTTTTATTAAATTAGTCTCATGGTTGGAGCACGGGAAGTACAGACCTTGACAGGCATAATAATAACCTCACTTATTATAAATAACAATCAGGAACTGCTTCTAATTGACTTGGCAACAAAATTGATGCTTGAAAAAAATGCAGAAAATTCAAACTGAAAGTTGTTTGTTGTGATTTAAATGTAACGTAAATGAATGTCTGATTGTTTAGTAAACGTACGATTTGTTTATTTCTACTATTGTTTGTGTATTAAACAATGCAGCCGATTCAGTTTTCGTTCACATGAGACGCCGTCACGTGTTAAACGACTTATGTAATGACTTAAGGAATACGCCATTATAAAACGATTAGACCAAAACTGCAAAAAAGTATAATCTTGTCAAATCCGAGACTCTAAATCCATCCCGACGTGACTGCCCAAACTAAATATAATATCATAGTTTTGAACTGTGAAGACACGCTTATTGTGTAAATTCTGAGTGAGTCATGCTTGATAGTTGAAGACAACTTGTAGGTGTTTTATTGCATTATTAATGTTGGTAGTTTCACTACTTACACACAAAACGAAAACTCGACTACGCGTGAAAGATAATTACAGCGATAGTAAGACAAGAAATTGTGCAAAATGAACATTCAAACAATGCGACCCTCGCACGATTCGGAAAACTTGCAGTAACTTAAAGCAATCCACTTTTCAGCTTCTCCGACACAGGAATTGATTTTTTAGACAGTGTCTGGCAAGTTTAGTACGATGGAATTTATGTGTTTTGTTTACCAGGCCTGCTTTATTAGATTGGATATTGGTGTACTGTAAAAGCTGAGTCAAATGATAATTGAGGAATATATGAAAGTGTGGCGGTTACCCTCTGCTGACTAGCGTCTTGTAAACACTTTTTTATGCTAAGTGTTTAAAAAAAGGTTTAAAGAAAAAATTGTCTAGCAACGGTTCAAATTTAATATTGAAAAATTAGGTTGGCAACACCAATGCGTTGCTTGTTCGTTAATCAGTTTGACGTTAACGGTCAAATGACTGTCAAATAAAGTGTCAGCTAACTTCATTGCCAACATCGTTATTTTAAAAACAAAATTCATGGCTTACTAGACGATTTTGTTCTTATAATTTCAAATTACGAAAATATAATGCATATTTACGGCCTTTTTAAATGGAATTTAAATAAAAATAAAATGAACAGCGGTTAGAATAAAATTCCAGCAAAATAAAGCGATAATTGTCTTTTGATTTTTCACTTTTCGAGTGTAAGCTAGGGAAATATTGTGCTACTTTTATGTTTTTTGACATTTCATGCCTCATAAAGCATGAAAAAATAGGTGTTCCATTTCCGTCTGTCATCTCTCGTCTGTATCGAAAAATTTGTTTGATCATCCCCACCAACAGTTTGATGATGTCACCTAAACATTTTGCATAGTAAAAGCTATTTAAATTTTATAAAATAACATACTCCTAAACGTACGGTTTATGAATATTTTTAATATTATACCGGGTGTCTGGAAAATGGCGGATTAACTAACTCTTCAGTAATTTTATAAAAGTAAAATCGGCAACATTGCTTACTTTCTGATTTCTTAGTAACGATGGTGACTAAAATCCACCTCTTATTTTTTTTTAGAACAACAACCATAACAACTTATTAATCGTTGTGCATTATTATTATTATTATAAAACAAGCTGTTATTTTTCATTAATAAATAAACCAAAAAAAAACATTTAATGAGGCATTTATAAACAAAAACAAAACTACCAAAAGAAAAATCCATTAAAGCATAAGCAAGCACTAGAGAAGACGTTGAAAATTCCTGCCTTGTGCATATAAGTAAACTCGGAATGTTTCCAAATTTTGATCATTTTTTGAAAAAGTTAGTCATCAGTACATAGTTTCTAAGATAAAACTGATTTTGGCAAAGATATACGCTCTAAGACAAGAGAGGGTGGATGGGCGGGGCTAGTACCTGTTAAGATAAAACTGATTTTGCAAATGACATAGCCTTTAAGAAACGAGAAGGCGGGTGGGCGGTGCTAGTGCAGTGATAAAATATTAGCTTGTTTGTGTTTATGCAAGGTGATTCAGAGCACTAGTCCATAATTTTAATGGCGAATTATATGACAAAAAATAAGTAAATAAAACTAGTGGGAGCATGGTCATTTCTTTCAAATATGGCGAACAGAGAATCTTAAAATTTCGTGAATGATGAAAATTACTTTCCGTTGTGGGTAATTATTAAAAAACAATTTATTCTTACTGTAACACATTGATAACAGTTCGTTCAATTTTTAGAGGTTATTAAAGAAATATGTAATATTAATATGTAATGATATTCTCAAGGCAGTTTAGCCGCAACAATTACGAAGACCATGTGTTTTTTAAGGTATTTAAGTAGTTTTTCGCTAATAAAATTAACGATAATGGAAGTAGTTTTGAAAACGTAGCAATTTAAAAAATTCTATGCCTCACGACTATAATTATGAATCACCCTGTGTGGTTAACTTCGACCTCATGAACATTTATATTCATAAGTTCAGTATAAGATCATTAATTTCATTCAGACCGGATTAAATCAATCAGTAAAATAAAGACAGGGTGGGTGGGCAGGGCTAATTATGTCCTTCTGTTGAGCGGAAAAATGTAAAAAAAGCGCCAATCGTAACTTTTTTGTCATAATATTTGCTATAAAATTTATTTCTTATTTCATGCACCTGACCTAACGTGACCTGATCTGTTCTGACTTTTCTATTGTCTCAAATAAACAAATTTTAAACATTTCTGTGAATATATAAAAATCACAAAGAACATTCTTAAAATAATAATTGTATTTTGTGAAACAAAAATTAATAATTATTTCCTTTTTTATCTACAAAATTTTTTTACCGAGCTATTTTGACGAAATAGTAAAAATTGCTATATTTCAATTGGCGATTTGGGAAAACGGTGGAAATTTCCGAAAAAATGAAGCCGAAAATGAATTCTGGATATCGAAATCTACAAGAAAATGACTTCAATTAGTTCGAAAATAGTTGAAAATTTTTCGAAAATGTCAAAGTCAGTTTTATCTTATCAAATACTAGCCCCGCCCACCCGCCCTTTATTTTATAGAAGGGTCTGTGAGCTGCCAAAATCAGTCTTATCTTAGCAAGTACTAGTCGCACCCACCCCCCACCCCCCTCTTCTCATTCTAACGACTAATTTAATTTCTGTTCAGTATAAAATCATTCGTTTCATTTAAACCGGATAAAATCAATCACAAAAATAAATACGGGGTGGGCGGGCGGGGCTAATTATGTTCTTCTGTTGAGTCGGAGTGGAAAAATGTTGTGAAAAAAGTAAAAAAAAACGCCAATCGTAACTTTTTTTTGTTACACGAATTGCTATAAAATTTATTTCTTATTTCATGTACCTGACCTGACTTGACCTAACGTGACCTGACCTATTCTGACTTTTCTGTTGTCTCAAATAAACAAATTTTAAACATTTCTGTGAATATATAAAAACCACAATTAACATTCTTAAATTAATTGTATTTTGTGAAACAAAAATTAATAATCATTTCCTTTTTATCAACAAAATTTTTATGCCGAGCCATTTTGACGAAATTGTAAAAATTGTTGTATTTCAATTGGCGATTTGGGAAAAGGGTAGGAATTTTCGAAGAAATGAAGCCGAAAGTGACTTCTGGATATCGAAATCTACAAGAAAATGACTTCAATTATTTCGACAATAGTTGAAAATTTTTCGAAAATGCCAAAATCAGTGTTTTCTAATCAAATATTAGCCCCGCCCACCCACCCGCTATTTTCTAGAAGGGTCTGATTTGCCAAAATCAGTCTTATCTTAGCAAGTACTAGCCCCACCCACCCCCCTCTTCTCATTCTAACGACTAATTTAATTTCTGTTCAGTATAAGATCATTCATTTCATTCAAACCGGATAAAATCAATCACTAAAATAAAGACAGGGTGGGTGGGCGGGGCTAATTATGTCCTTCTGTTGAGTGGGAGTGGAAAAATGTTGTGAAAAAGCTAAAAAAAGCGCCAATCGTAACTTTTTTGTTGTACGATTTGCTATAAAATTTATTTCTTATTTCATGTACCTGACCTGACTTGACATAACGGGACCTGACCTGTTCTGACTTTTCTATTGTCTCAAATAAACAAATTTTAAACATGTCTGTGAATATATAAAAAGCACAAAGAACATTCTTAAAATAATTTTATTTGTGAAACAAAAATTAATATTAAAAATTGCTATATTTCAATTGGCGATTTGGGAGAACGATAGGAATTTCCGAAAAAATGAAGCCGAAAATGACTTCTGGATATCGAAATCTACAAGAAAATGACTTCAATTAGTTCGAAAATAGTTGAAAATTTTTCGAAAATGCCAAAATCGGTGTTTTCTTATCAAATACTAGCCCCGCCCACCCACCCTCTATTTTCTAGAAGGGTCTGTGATTTGCCAAAATCAGTCTTATCTTAGCAAGTACTAGTGTAACCTGAATATTTACGTAAATTTCTAAACACTCCTCGTCTCTCACAAGCTGATGAGGATCTTTCACCAGGGAGGTTGTTCATGCATTTCTGTTGCAAATAACACTTCTTTCGTAAAGAACTTATTTTGTTCTTTCACGATTTTGTAAATCCACCTTTTTTGCATCTGGTCTGTTTTATAGATGTTTTTTTGGATGTAAACAATTTTGGTTTTGTTTTATAAGAATCATCATGGATCTCTATGTTCGTGAAAATTCCAAAAAGTCAGTCCGCCCCCAAGCAATGAAGGCAATTCTGTTTTCCGTCTAATTTTACCCACGACACGTGTCTAAACTTGCAATTAATCGTACACCGGTGTTATTCCTTCGGCCGTTAAAATGTTCTAAAATTACACCTTTTTGATGTTTTTCATTAAACAAAACACGTTGTTGTTATTTAACTGACGCAACAAGGTCACCTCGAAACCACAAAATTTTTTCGACGAAAACCCTCCGAGAGCTCTTGTCACCTCACACCTGACCTTTACCAAGCCCCAAAAGCGAAAGCCTTTTCCGCCAAACCACTTTCCCGCCGCCCCTCACCACTCGCCCATTTGCATAGAAAGTCCAATCACCATTAAAAATCGCCCTTCCCCGCCACCTCGCACCTCCGTTGCGTAACCGCCGCTTTTCGCTAGCTGTCAACGTGCCAGCCCGCCGCCCATCACCGCCTTCCGGATTCCTCAACCATGAACTCATAACTTCCCGACACCGACAGCATGCGCGAGCTGTGCAGGGCCGGCGGCACCGTGGTGGCGGCCGTCGTCGCCGTTTTGGAGAAGCAGCAGCAGGCGCTGGGCGGCGCCCCCAGGAAGCTCCAACAGACGGCCAAAAATAGCTGCAGCAAGGCGGACGAGAGCTTCCAATCGGCCGTCAAGGATTTCGACAGCGTCGCCGAAGACGTCGAGCGGATCGTGGCGCAGACGAGCTCGTTGAAGAGGCACAAGACGGAGGACGGCGGAGGGCTCTCGAGGGGCGGCGAGGAGGTGGTTTATAGGCGCCGGGATGCGGAGGACGGGTTCAGTTCGAGCGATGACGAGAGCAGCAGCGAGACGACCAGCGATTCGGAAGGGGAGCACGTGCTAGAGGGGTTGGAGACCATCGCCGAGGAGGACAGGAACACGTCGAGCGCGCTCTCGTACAAAGGTAAAGTGGGACGTGGCGGTTGTGAGGTTTTTGCTTGTGGCGGGAAGTTTTCGCGTGCAAAGTGGCGGAGTTTGTGTTAGTTTTTAAAAATTTTGTTGGTTTTTATTGAACGTACCCACCTTGATTTTAAATAGTATTTTGTGGTCACAATGACGACGAAATCAAAATAAACAAAATTTGCATAATCGCATGGGACGCGCTGCCAGTTTTATATTAAACAAACACCGAAATACTTTTAACGTGTAAACTGTGTTATAAAAATTTTATTTTAAAATGAAGATAAAGACAGTGACTTCTAATTTTTAAAACGCCGAATTCTCGTGTAATTCTCGTCTTTACGTTGCAAATAATCTTAGATCTTAGATTCTTTGATGGGATATGAAAATCTGGCGGTTTTGTTTCCTTGAAACTTGCTTTTCTTGTTGTAAATTCAAGCCTGAGGATAATAATGAATTCTGTTCCTCCTTCATATTTTGTACTTGATCACGGTTGATTTTAGTGAAAAATACAAGCAAAACAATTTTTTTTGTCGGTTCGATGCCTAAGAAGTTCAAGCCTTCAAAGTTCTTTTGCAGAATTTCACGAAAACTTTGTAAAACGTGTTTATCCAGAGTTGTGTTGTTTCGGAAATGGTTCAAAAGTTATGTGAGAAATTAATGATTTTTCATTAAAAAAGGCTTTCCTAGGAAAGAAAATGAGTATTAATTAAAACTTAGTAGTGTCTGGATTCGTCAATTTTTATTAGAGAGATAACTACTGGACCGATTGTCGTCAAATATGATGTAAAAGGAAAAGAATCACCACAATTTGTTTAGGAGAAAGATTGAAAATTGTAGACTCAGTTTTTACGTTTATTTGAATTGATGTCGTTGCGGTAATTTCGAAAACGGAATTAGCAGAAGATTTTCTACAATTTATACCAATTTTCAATCAATTGAACCAATTTTAACAACTTTTTTATCAAAATTTAAAAATTGAAAACCCACTTTTCACGTATACATATTTGAATAGATGTCGTACCGACGATTTTGGAATAATAACTAACGGACGATTGTCTACATTTTAACCACCTTTTTGGAAAAATTTCGTAAATTGTAAAATCGCTTTTCAATATTTATTTAAATTAATGGCATGGCGATTTCGGAATTGTAATAATTAGCAGAAGATTTTGTATAATTTGGCACCAATTTCCAGTCGATTTTTTCGATCGACATTTTAAACACTTTTTTGGAAAAATTTTGAAAATTTTAAAATCGCTTGTCGCATTTTTATTTAAATTAATGTCGTGGCGGCGATTTCAGAATCATAATAAGCGGAAGATTTTTTACAATTTGATACCAATTTTCAATCGATTGAACCCATTTTAATCACTTTTTTGGAAAAATTTTGAAAATTGTAAAACCACTTTTCACGTTAATTTAAATAGACCTTATGACGGCGATTCCAGATTTGTAATTAGCGGAAGATTTTCTACATTTTGACACCAATTTTCAATCGATTGAACCCATTTTAACCGGTTTTTTAGAAAAATTTTGACAATTGTTAAATCACTTTGTGCGTTAATTTGAATAGATCTTATAACGGCGATTTCAAATTTGTAATTACCGTAAGGTTACATACAATTTGACACCAATTTTCAGTTGATTAAACCGATTTTAATCATTTTTTCGGGAAAATTTTAAAAATTTAAAAATCTGTTTTCACGTTTATTTAAATTGGTGTCCTGACTTTTATTTCGGATTCATAATTAGCGGAATATTTTCTACAATTTGATACCAATTTTCACTCGATTGAACTCATTTTAACCACTTTTTTGGAAAAATTTTGAAAATTTTAAAATCGCTTTTCACTTTTTATTTAAATTAATGTCGTGGCGGCGATTTCAGAATCATAATAAGCGGAAGATTTTCTACAATTTGACACCAATTTTCAATCAACTGAACTCATTTTAACCACTTTTTTGGAAACATTTTGAAAATTGTAGACCCACATTTCATATATATTTGAATAGATGTCGTACCGGAGATTTTGGAGTAATAATTAACGGACGATTGTCTACAGGTTGACATCAATTTTCAGTCTACTGAACGCATTTTAACCACTTTTTTGTAAAAATTTTGAAAATTTTAAAATCGATTTTCACATTTTTATTTAAATTAATGTCGTGGCGGCAATTTCGGAATCATAATAAGCGGAAGATTTTCTACAATTTGATACCAATTTTCAATCGATTGGACTCATTTTAACCACATTTTTGGAAAAATTTTAATTGCAAACCCACTTTTCACATATATTTGGATAGATGTCGTACCGACGATTTTGGTATAATAATTAACGGACGATTGTCTACAGTTGAGACATCAATTTTCAGTCGATTGAACTCATTTTAGTCACTTTTTGAAAAAATTTAGAAAACTGTAAAATCGCTTTTCACATTTATCTGAATTGATGTCGTGCCGGTGATGTCTGAATCGTAATTAGCGGATGATTTTCTACAATTTGCACCAATTTTCAACCCATTGAATTCATTTTAACCACATTTTTGGAAACATTTTTAGAATTGTAAATCCACTTTTCACATATTTTTGACTAGATGGCGTACCGGCTACTTTGGATTCATAATTAGCGGACGATTGTCTACAATTTGATACCAATTTTCAATCGGTTGAACTCATTTTAACCACTTTTTGGAAAAATTTTGAAAATTGCAGACCCACTTTCCACATATTTTTGACTAGATGGCGTACCGGCTATTTTGGAATCATAATTAACGGACGATAGTCTACAGTTTGACATCAATTTTCAGTCGATTGAACTCATTTTAACCACTTTTTCTGAAAAATTTTGGAAATTGTAAATCTATTTTTCCCATATTTTTGAATAGATGTCGTACCGACTATTTTGAATTCATAATTATGTGAGCATTGTCTAGAATTTGACCCTAATTTTCAATCGATTGAACCCATTTTAACCACTTTTTTGGAAAAATTTTGAAAATTGTTAAATCACTTTTTACGTTTATTTGAATAGATCTTATGACGGCGATTTCAGATTTGTAATTACCGCAAGATTACATACAATTTGATACTAATTTTCAGTTGATTGAACCCATTTTACCATCTTTTTGGAAAAATTTTTAAAATTCTAAAATCATTTTTCCCGTTTATTTGAATAGATCTCGTGGCGGCGATTTCAGATTCGTAATTCCCGGAAGATTTTCTACAATTTAACACCAAGCTTCAATTCAGTGACCTCATTTTAACCAATTTTTTGGAAAAATTTTGAAAATTGTAAAGCCAATTTTACATATATTTGAGTTAATGTCGTGACGGCAATTTCGGAATCGAAATTAGCTTAAGATTTCCCACAATTTGACACCAATTTTCAATCGATTGACCCCTTTTAAACAATTTTTTGGAAAAATTTCGAAAATTGTAATTTCACTTTTCACGTTTATTTGAATAGTTCTTATGACGACGATTCCAGTTTTGTAATTACCGCAAGATTATCTACAATTTGACACCAATTTTCAGTCGATTAAACCGATTTGAACCACTTTTTTGAAAACATTTTGAAAATTGTAAAATCACTTTCTACGTTAATTTTTTAAATAGATGTCATGACGGCGATTTCAGATTCATAATTGTCGGAAGATTATCTGGAATTTGACACCAATCTTCAGTGGATTGAGCCCGTTTTAACCATTTTTTGAAAAAATTATGAAAACTGTAAAGTCACTCTTCACGTTTATTTAAATAGTTATCGAAGAGGCGACCTTGGATTTGTAATTAGCGGACGATTATCTACAATTTGGCAGCTATTTTCAGTTGATTGAATCCATTTTAACCACTTTTTTGAACAAATTTTGAAAATTCCAAGATCACTTTTTACGTTTATTTGAATTGGTGTCGTCATGACTTCGATTTCGGATTTGGAATTAGCGGAAGATTTTCTGCAATTTGACACCAAGTTCCAATCGATTCATCCCATTTTAGATACTTTTTTCGAAAAATTTTGAAAATTGTAAAATCAGTTTTCACGTTTATTTGAATAGATCTCAGACGGCAACTTCAGATTCGTAATTACCGGAAGATTATTTACAATTTGACACCAATCTTCGGTCGATTGAGCCCAATTTAACCATTTTTTAGGAAAATTTTAATAAAACTGTAAACTCACGTTCACATTTATTTAAATAAATATCGTAATGGCGACCTCCTATTCGTAATTAGCGGACGACTATGTACAATTTGGCAGCAATTTTCAATTTATTGAATCCATTTTAACCACGTTTTTGGAAAAATTTTGAAAATTGTGAAATCACTTCACGTTTATTTGAATTGCTGTCGTGACTTCGATTTCGGATTCGTAATTAGCGGAAGATTTTCTACAATTTGACACCAAGTTTCAATCGATTGAATCCGTTTTAACCACTTTTAGGAAAAATTTTGAAAATTGAAAAATCACTTTTCACGTTTATTTGAATAGATGTCGTCCCCGCGACTTTGGATTCATTATTAGCTCACGATTATCTACAATTTGACACCAATTTTCAATGGATTAAACCCATTTTAACCACTTTTTTGGAAAAATTTTGAAAATTGTAAAATCACTTCACGTTAATTTTTTAAATAGATTTCATGGCGGCGTTTTCAGATTCATAATTACCGGAAAATTATGTACAATTTGACACCAATCTTCAGTCGATTGAGCCCATTTTAACCATTTTTTGGAAAAATTTTGAAAATTGTAAACCCACTTTTCACATTTATTTGATTAGATATCGTACCCGCAATTTTGGATTCTTAATTAGTGGACGATTATCTACAATTTGACACCAATTTTCAGTCGATTGAACCCATTTGTAACTTTTTTCGAAAAATTTTGAAAATTATAAAATCAATTTTCACGTTTATTTGAATAGATCTCAGACGGCAATTTCAGATTCGTAATCACCGGAAAATTATTTACAATTTGACACCAATCTTCAGTCGATTGAG